CAAGTCTCCTGGCTTCCCCAGGGCCGCGTGGCACTTGTTTGAACTGTATGTGGCTCTCTTACTCCTAAGAGAGTCCTTTTTCTGTTTTGTTTCCCTGGTCTGTGCGGTTGAGCATCCAGGCCTGTGCAGACTGGCTGTGCTCTCTAGCAGTAGATTAATCTTTGCCAGTTTTCTTTGGGGTTTTCTGTTTTTTCATAGTTTGAGTGACCCTTTCTATCTTCTGGGTGTTCTGTGTGTGGAAAGTATTTTTTTCCCCTCAGTCATTTAAAAAAAATGTTTTTATTGATTTTTTTTAGAGAAAGAAGAAGGGAGAGGGATAGAGAGAGAAACATCTCGATGAGAGAAACATCACTGATCAGCTGCCTCCTGCCCGCCCCCTCTTGGGGATCGACCCCGCAACTGGGCATGTGTCCTGCCCGGGAATCGAACCAGTGACCTGGTTCATGGGTCGATGCTCAGCCTCTAAGCCACACTGGCTGGGGTCCCTCTGTCACTTTTTAACCTTGCCTATGGAGCCTTTTACTTTACAGGTATTTTTTCTGATAAGATCTGTCTATCAACATACCTTTTATGGTTCCTGGGTTTTATGTCTTTTGCCTTTCTTACCCCAGGGTTATAAAGATATTAGCTTGTATTTTCATAAAATATTTTCAGAGTTTTAAGAAAGGTATAGCTGATAATTCATTTGAAATATAATTTTGTGAATAGCCTGTGGTAGAGATCTCATTTTATGTTTTTCAAATTATTCCAACATCACTAATTTATTGCTTCCCATTAACTTGAAGTGCTACATTTATCCTAAACCAAATTCTCATGTCAGCATAGGTGTGTTTCTGGATGCTTCTGTGTCCATTCAGCTTCTAGATCAGGAGCACTATTGTGTATGTTATGTGGGCAGAGTAAAATATAGTTTCCCTTTTCTAAACAAGCTGTGTAGTAAAACCTCAATAATTCGGGTAAAAGCCGGAGTAATGGAGGAAGGAGGAAAGAGGACATGTACTTTAGTAAAACCACCAGCCAATACACCCTGATACGTAGTGTGGCTTAAAAGGAAATATCTAGGTTCTCGTATCTCAGAAGTTAGAAGGAAGAAAGGAAACTGCTTACTTGACCCACTTTTGTTTCCCTTGAATCCTTCTCGTATCAGGGAAAGCTCCTACCCAGTGGCCTCTACCCTGTTATAATTGATCGGGATGAAAACCAGGGTGGGGCAGGAGGAGGTTTGCAGTTGTTTGTATGGAAGAGACTACAGTAATTAATACATAATATACCAGAATGGACTGTTTGGCGTGCTCACAACTGTAAACATACCTCTGCCCCACGCTGTGGACCAGAGAGCATCCAGTGGGGCAGGAAGTGTTGCCTCTCCCCTGTCTAGTCAGCTGTCAGGAGGCTCGCTCAGGAAGGGACATTTCCGGTTGGTGTACTGGTGGCCTGACATGTCTTTAAGCAACCAAGACTTGAAGAAAGTAAAACCACAAATCAGTCCACCCGGAGGCACCATTCTGCTACCTGTTGACACCTTTCAGTGCTTTCCAATGGGCTACCCTGAGTGCCCGACTTTAGAACCAGCTGGCCCACAGGACATCCGATGCCTTTTCTTAGCAGCCTAGCAGACCACCCCTCTTGAATCATTTCTTAAAAATATGTTTTTATTGATTTCAGAGAGGAAGGGAGAGGAAGAGAGAGATAGAAACATCAATGATGAGAATCATTGATCGGCTGCCTCCTGCACGCCCCCATTGGGCGAGCCCGCAACCCGGGCATGTGCCCTGACTGGGAATTGAACCGTGACCTCCTGCTTCATAGGTCAGCGCTCAACCACTGAGCCACGCCAGCCAGGCTTGAATCATTTTTAAAAATCAGATTTACACAGAGTTTTACTGAATGTAAATGTTATGGCCCACCAAGGGCTAAGAAGCCAGGCAGCCTAAAAACAGGTGATGCAGTGACCGAACCTTAGCCATCCGAAAGCCCAGGCAGGCCTTCTCAGCCTTTTAGTTCCTCTTGGGCTTTATCAGCTTTGGGTTGGGCTTTTCACTTGGCTGAGTTTGTTATTGGTGTCCTTCGCTGACCTCTTTATCTCTGGCGGAAGCGGAAGGCACCTGGAGAATGTGGCCGTCCCCCTGGGGCACGCCCTGCCGTGTTCCAGCGAAGCAGCAGCTGTGCACCTGCTGTGTGAACTCCGAGTGCCCCTGTCCCCGCTCCCACTGCCTCCGACAGCTGCTGAGCGCCACCGGTCAGGGCTCCGCAGATGAGTAAGGCCTACCCTCTAGGACAGTGATGGCGAACTCATTTTTTTGGTTGATTTTTCTTTGTTAAATGGCATTTAAATATATAAAATAAATATCAAAAATATAAATCTTTGTTTTACTATGGTTGCAGATATCAAAAAATTTCTATATGTGACACGGCACCAGAGTTAAGTTAGGGTTTTTCAAAATGCTGACACGCCGAGCTCAAAAGGTTCGCCATCACTGCTCTAGGAGCTCGGCTCTCTCTGTGCGGAAGTGAACACACATCCTCCTTTGGGGGTGAGGAACACATATAATCCTGACGACAGCATTGTGTGTGGTGACTGCTGCTGTAGGCAGCATGGAAGAGATGATAGGGATCAGGTGGCCCCTCAGTGTAGCACAGGAGCCCTGAACTACCGTATGTGACTGGTTTCTTGAGGCCTCCCTGGGCCGCACCTCAAGAACACTGCACAGGCGGAGCACAGGCGGCGAGAGCCTCTGGCGCTGGCTCCTGGGCTCAGCCGTGGAGGAGACACTGGTCTTCTCATTCCGTGTCCCATACACTGGCTCCTCCTTCTCTCTAGGGGAAGCTGCCGACACGGATCACAGTCCCGCTCTCTGTGATCAGCCAGCCTATGAAGGGCAAGAGTGTGGTCACAGCCCCCATCATCAAAGGCAACCTGGGAGCCAAGTAAGTGCCATCGGGAGGGAGGGCAGGGCTTCCGGGTGCTGGTTTCCTGGGGCTCACCCTGGGTACCTCTCCTTTGTTGTGCTCGGCGAGGCGTATTGATTAGCTAGTATTGTTTTAGGTGTGGGGGATATAGCAGTGATTGAGAGAGACAGAAGTCCATGCTGGCTTCAAGAGGGGAGCGAAATACTATGTGGGCAGTAAGGTGTACTATGAAGAAAAAGCAAGGAAGGGGACAGGCAGTGCATCACGGGTCGCCACTGACATAGCTCAGGCAGCAGTTTCGACTGCGGCTGCTGGGAAGGCCTCACGTTTTCTGAGCCCAGTGGTGTGGTCAGTCAGGAGGAGGAGGGCCTGTTGGAACCTGGGCTGCCCGTGGCCCTGACTGAAACGGGACAAGGAGAAGGGGTGTGATGGGATCGTTCTGATGGTCTCAAGGCAGCTGTGTGGGGCAGGGGATTCTTGACAAAAGCGCACGCCTCCCCGGGGCCTTGTTCGTTACTCCCGCTGATCAAGGTCTAGATCTCAGGGTCATTTTAGCCAAAGCACTGGGGGCCTTGGGCTCGCTCTTATCTCGTCGTGGGACACATGGAAGGTGGAACAAACGTGGTCTCATCCGCTAGTTTCCACTTCAGTCCAGAATGCTGGGATTTTCACGGGCCCCAGGCCCCCTGGTTTCCTTCAGTGCGTGGCCTGATTCTGGTGGGAGCTAACGCCCTGTCCTGCTTTCTGTCCACAGCCTCAGTGGGTTGGGCCGCAACATCATCCTCACCACCATGCCAGCGGGCACCAAGCTCATAGCTGGCAACAAGCCCGTGAGCTTCCTCACTGCCCAGCAGCTGCAGCAGCTCCAGCAGCAGGGCCAGGCCACACAGGTGAGGCCAGGGCGCACTGCGGGCCACACCAGCTTCTCTCCTTGCCTTTGCTGTCTGTGCCCAACCGGTGAGCCTGTTTGCAAGCTGCTGACCAGACGTTCTCTTTGCGAACAGGTGCGCATCCAGACTGTCCCCGCATCCCATCTCCAACAGGGAACAGCCTCGAATTCCTCCAAAGCGGTCTCCACTGTTGTTGTGACCACAGCTCCGTCTCCTAAGCAGGCACCCGAACAACAGTGACTCTGAGAGAAGCTTCCATCAGAGCCCAGGCCTGCTCCGCCCTGCAGGCCGCATGGAAGGGAGCAGGGAGGCCCCTCCTTCCTCTGAGGCCAGTGGTGGGCTGGTGGCAACAGGGCTGCCATCCGCTGCCACACCCCACGAGGAGGACACTGAGGAAGGCTCGCTCCAGGTCTGTTCCGTACCGACCCACGGAGGCTTCTCTCAGAACCGTGTGAGGTCAGTGTGTCACACAAGCCAGGCTCCCCGAGAGCGGGCTTACGGGGGGAGCGCAGACAGCGACTACGCCGCATTCTGTACGCGGCTCGTACCTTTCAGCTTGTGGTCTTCTCTGTGACGAGTGGTCTGGAGAGGAGCTTTGTCTCCAGAAATTTTTATGTAACTTATTTTTTTTAAAGAGCCTATTGTACGTCTTTGTCAAATAGAAACTTGGGCATTAGCCCCCTAAATGAATTCATTCTTTTGACCAGAATGTGAGAATGGCAGGATTCTAATAAGTTGGTGGCTGACTGGATAACTCCGTGGAGAGACTCTGAGATGGGAAAGAAACACAAGAAGTGAGAGTGTGTGGGTTCCCTGAAATGGGACTAGTTGGGCACTACCTCTTAAAGAGGGGGTGTCAGGATCCTGGCTGTGGCCTGTTCTTTTGCTGCTGGCTGTCCTCACCAAGCCTGTTCACACGCCCGGGCTGGTGGGCACGGCGGGTGGATGCCAGCAGGGACGTTGCTCTTGCAGCACAGACTGCATTTCAGTTCAGAGACTCTACATTCTGCTTTGCTCCAGAACAAGAGTCCGCAAGCCACCGCCCTTAGGTTGGCTTCCCGTTTTTGTAAATAAAGTTTTATTGGAACACAGCCCATGCCCATTTCATTTGTGTATTATCTATGGCTGCTTTCAGTTCGAGCAGAAGCAGAACTGAATAGATGCCACATGGCCCTCAAGTCTAAAATACTTTCGATGTGGTTCTTTAAATAAAACTTTGCTGACTTTTATTCCAAAGTAGAGATGGGTGTCCCTACTGGACAGCACCAACCAAAAGAAGGTCAGTGTAAGTGTACAAGTTATTTAATCCTGGCTGTTTCCTGCTTCTCAGCCCCACCGAGCTGCAGGCAGAGAGCTGGGCATGGTGCTTTAATTAAGGCACTGGGGGTAAGAATATATGCTGCTTCTGTGCTGGAGCAGGGCTTGGGTGGGGAAGCTTTTCTGCAGGGGCAGAGCTTCCCTAACTCTTGGAAGGATCCAGATGACTGAAAAGGTATTTTAATCTGTCGAAGTCTAGCGATGATACTGTATGGCATCTGCGTGCGGAAGTGGATTGGAAGGAGTGGGAATGGCCTGCTTCAGAGGGGCTTGCGGGTGGGAGCGGAGGGATCGGGCAAGTTGTCAAGGGGCCGACACCTTTCGATGGCTTGGTGGTGACACAGTGGTTGTACAGACACCTCATTGGATTCCTAAGGAAGTTCTGTGAAACAGTTAAGCTGTTCTCACTGGGAGAAAATGCGCGTTTCAGCTGGAGTTAGAACCAAGAAGTCAGTCCAGTCTTCGGATTCTAAGTCAGGTGCCCTTTCTGCTGCCTTCCTCAGAAGGGAGTGGCTGTGATGTGTCATGGTGAGACTTGGGGGCGATCCAGAGCTGAGGGTGGAAGTCTGGATGACAGGGCAGAGGTGAATCGGCCGAGGCGGGATTGAGCTTTTGCAGGGAGTGGAGGGCTGGACAGAAATGGACGGGAAGTGGCCGGAGGCAGGGACTGCAGTGAGGAGACACACTGTTTCCACCCGAGTAAAGGCGGCTGCCCCTGCTGTTTCATAATACTTCAGTATTTGCATGTCAGTACTCCCTGGAGTCACATTTCACACGGAAAGTTCATGTGACAGGCTCTAAGTGAGCAACAGGTAGAAATTGGAGGAATCCTGTCTTGGGTATTGACTGCTGGTTAAACTTCCTCTGAATTTGTTTAATAAATGATTTCATAAAAGTCCTGGCCTTCAGCCCCAACCCCACCCCACACTGTTATTGACTGAAGTCACCTGACCGCTCGTCTCCTTAGTGGCTGCAGACTTTGACATCCGAGGGGAACAGTGTAGGACTGAGCCCTGGGAAGTGAGGTGGGTCCTGGCCAGCCTGTCAGTGGAGTACACAGCGGAAACCCCCTCTTGGAGTTGTTCAGGTGACGTCACCAGCATTTGCACCAAACATGGGTCCTGGATGCACACCTGGGGCCATGAGACATGTGGTGGCTCCGGGGGTGTTTGGGGGGACAATTCCAGAAGGACCTGTGGCGGCCTTGAGTCTTTGAGCCTCTGGTGGACAGGAGTTGGCAAAGTTATTCCGACCATGTGTCTCAGGCTGGATTTGGTGTGTAGCGTTGTGAGGGGTTTGCACTGTAGCCCAGAATGTTCATGTTAGCGGTGATCACTTCTGTGACGGTGTCCCAGCCATGCTGGGAGGAGCATTAGAATAGACTTGGATGTTTTATAGTTGATCCTCACTCTGGAGAAAATACCCCCTTTCCCTAAACCCTGCTGCCTCACCCCCTTTAATTCAAAATGGAGAGCGTTCCTTTGAAAGTAAAACCCAGAGTAGGTTCCTTCTTCCCACCTCCAGTCGCCGAGGAAAGGACACGTTTTACATTCATTGCCAATAATGGGTCCTCTGGTACTTGTTGAATGGATGTTGGGTTTTACTCAGCAGGCAAACCCCCTGGATGCTGAAAGGGTACCCATGGGCTCGCCTCTCAGTACTAAATCCGAGTTTTCAGGGAGCTCATTCTTCTCCTGAAGCTGTGCCTCCAGCTCTAAGTGCTGGCTGAGAAAGGGAGGTGCTGAGTGCAGAGTTTCTCCCAGAGCCGTCCAGTGCTCCACGGGAATGACCCCGGTGCTGACCTCAATGCTCCACGGGAACGACCCCGGTGCTGACCTCTGCTCCAGGTGAATGACGACCTCAATGCTCCATGGGAATGATCGCTGCATTTGTGTGACGTAGCGGAGGAGAAAGGCGAGAGACAGGCTGGCTGGAGTCCTCCTGAAATCTGGTTCTACACCTAGTAACCTTAGACCACTCAACTCCGAAGAATGAATGTATTTCCAGTATACCGGTAGGTGGTCGTGAGAAACAAATAAGATATATTTCAGAGTCTGAAAAGTGCCCAACAGTTGAATGGTACTATTTGGTCTCTACGGTAAGAGCTTTCAGATTCGTCCTAACCCACCTTTATCCATTCATGTTCTTTTCTCTCTGCCTGGAATGTGCCTTTTCTATGGCACTTGTCCTCCCTCCTTTGTGTCATGCTGGTTTCACTTACCATCATGGCATCAGTCACCCCGTATGAACTGCCTGCATAGTTCTCCCATTAGACTGAATTCCTTACTGGGCACATACTTAGTTAATCTGTACAACCATTCCAGTCTTGGTGCAAAGGAGATGTTTAATAAGCCCTTGTTGAAGGAAGCTTAAAAAAAAAACAAACCAGAACCAAGACTAGAGTATCAAGATTGTATTACCAGTTCCAGCTTCAGATCCTTTGTGGGATTCTTGCCCTTTGCTTTCGGCTGTATTTAAAGTCAAGGCCTCCCCTACCTGACATTTTCTCTCCCTCACTGTCCAGCTTTCCTGTCAGCATCCTCATGAGGGCACTTTTGCGGAGTCAGACCATCTGAGTTCCAGCTCTCATCTGGGCCACTAACTAGCTTCCTGGTTTTAAAAACAAAATGTACCTTTGGCCCAACTTTGTCACTTACCAACAGTGGTATTGCAGTACTCTGGAGTGTCATGATTAGTTAGGAGGTGTTAACAAGTGATGTGTAAACACCAAAACTTGTGGATGACTACTTTTTAAAAATACACGCTAGACTTGAATCTCTAAAAGAAAGGCACTGTGATTCACTCACTTCCTAATAAGAAAGTTCCTGCTTTCTTGGGAGGGAAAGAAGGGATAAGTCATCAACAGCAGTGGGTTTGGCTGGATTCACATCCTGGATTCGTCAATGAGGCTACGTGCTGTTCTGACACTTCAGAGTCTCTGATTTCTCTCCTGAGACGTAAAGGCTTGCTTCGTTTTTCTTTATGAAGGATACGCACCAACACGGTCTTCAGCCATTAAATGAGAAGGTGCAGATATAGAGCACCTTCAGGGTAGACCAAGGCAAGCATTAACATGGAGATGAGCCACACCTGTGACACTCAGCTAGTCCTGCTCATGGGGATATGCCACCCCGTTTGTGACCGAGGGCCCCGTCTCATTCCTCGTCGGAGCCATTCAGCAGGGCCTTCTGGTAAGTGGTGTCTGACTTCAGCTCCTGAATGCCAATGATTTCTCCTTCTCTGCGCCTCTTTAACCGGGTCAGAAGGCTGTAATGGAGAAACAGTAACGAATTCAATCAGCCCCCAAACTCCCTTCCCTGAAGAATGTGAGGGCGTCTAATGGTTCTTAAAGCATTTACTTCCTTAAATATTGTGATTACATATCTGACTTCTCGGTATTCGTCGGTAGATAAAGGGATCGTGATGAATAATATTTGATAGTGAACGTTGTAATTGAGACTGAACTCGGGTCTCCCACCTCCCTTTTTACTATTGCACTGACCCGGCAGTGGAACTGGTAGAAACTAGGACCTTGAGTTGTGTTCTGTTTGGTCTGCGTGGAGGTCTTTCTGGGTGAAGTGGTATCTGCTTTGGTAGGGAAATCAGGAGCCAGGGACGGAGATTGGGGCAGCTAAGACAACAACTAATGCCATGTGCCCGCAGTCTCCCTGGCACTGTGGTTAAAGACTGGAGCTCTGCCATTTGCTCGTTGGGCGACCTTGATCACATTAGTCTTTTGAAGCCTTGGTTTTCCCGTCTGTACAACATTACATGTTTCATAAAGTGATAAGGATTAAATCGGGCGGTGCCTGGGACAAAGCACGTGCCTGGGAACTGTTCGCTGTCATCTTGGAAGAGCACTTCACCTGGGTGGTGTCTCATCTGATTGTCGCAAGGCCTCTGGGAAACAGGCGATGGGCTCGAAATGAACAGGGACAGAGCGGGACTGCAGTCCAGTGCCCGGGCCTCATTCCGAGTGTTTTCTGTCGCAGCACAGGCCTGAGCTCCAGATCTGCCTCTGCAGCCTGGGTCTGTCCCAGGTTACTATGACCAGTCAGGCCCTTAACCTTCAGAGCCCCATCACCCTCATTCATAGTCTAGAGCCGTGGTTGGCAAACTGCGGCTTGCGAGCCACATGCGGCTCTTTGGCCCCTTGAGTGTGGCTCTTCCACAAAATACCACGTGCGGGCGCGCACGTACAGTGCGATTGAAACTTTGTGGCCCATGCGCAGATGCCTGAGAACTGTTTGCCGACCACTGATCTAGAGCAACAGTCGCCAACCTTTCGGACCTCCCGGGCCACCGGTGGTCCACGGACCACTGGTTGGCGGCCGCTGGTCTAGAGCACCTAGCACAGGACTCGGCCTTTAGCTGGTACTTGTTAAGTGGTGGGAGTTAGTTGTGAAAGGGGTCCCTGGAAATAAAAATGGTGCAGGGGGTTGGTCAGGAAGGAAAACGCTGACAGAAGTCTCGGGGACGTACCAGTGAACAAGGGAGTAGTTGACGGCCACGATGCAGAGCGCAGCCAGGTAGTGCCAGCAGAAGCACATGGTGATGAACATGAGGTTCGTTGGCTGCCTCCTGCAGGCCCCCTACTGGGGATTGAGTCTGCAACCTGGGCATGTGCCCTTGACTGGAATCGAACCTGGGACCTTTCAGTCTGCAGGCCGACCCTCTATCCACTGAGACAAACCGGCTAGGGCTAGTTGCAGTTTTTCTACCAGAGGTATGTGACTGGCAACTACCTAACCATAACTTTGTGGGCAGTTGATTATCAGAATGTTTCTACCATGGTTCTCCCCCTAGTTATATAACAAGAGTCTGAGGAGGAGGAGGAGGCATTTAATGATTATTTATTCCATTTTATCAATGTACCCAGGGAGTTAATATAATTCTCTTGGGTCCAATTATTTAGATTAGTTATCTTCGTCCCCAATTAGATAATTTCATTCTCCTTTGGTGTAGCTATACCAGGGGTCCTCAAACTATGGCCCGTGGGCCACATGCAAATACAAATATTGTATTTGTTCCCGTTTTGTTTTTTTACTTCAAAATAAGATATGTGCAGTGTGCATAGGAATTTGTTCATAGTTTTTTTTTTAAACTATAGTCCGGCCCTCCAATGGTCTGAGGGACAGTGAACTGGCCCCCTGTTTAAAAAGTTTGAGGACCCCTGCTTTAGATGGTATCAGTACCTCCACTGGGGCGGGCAGATGGGGAAATAGTTAATCTGCTCACTGTGTACACTCCATAGACTCTGCTTAACGCATCAGCAGGCTATTCATGGGTAAGGCTCCCCAGGTCGGGGGCGGCATGTCAGACTTCACCTGGACAGGCTCCGTGGGGCCCCTCAGTCCCTACAGCGCTAGGAGCAGTGTTTGAACACTTACCTGCCAGAACCAGGTGCCCTGGAGAATAACGAGCGAGGTTCGGAAAAGTTCCAGCACAATGTTGTCTCGAAGGATCACCTCCAAGAAGATGCTGAGAGCCCCTCCGAACACAGCGCACAGCAGCAGCGAGTGGATGAACTGGTCCAGTGGCGGCCGGTTGTGGACGTGGTGGTAGAAGAGGAAACCTGCCCCAGAGCCAGGCACGGCCGTCAGAGATGCCCGTTTCTCCGTCAGCACCACCCTGCACGCCCCACTATAGAATGTCCTCAGCCAGGGTCTTCTGCCCTCGGAAAGTCAGTTTATATGACATTACAGGATAAGCAATGGGCAGGTGAAATCTGTGTGTGTGCTGCCCAGCCGGCGTGGCTCAGTGGTTGAGCGTCGACCTATGAACCAGGAGGTCATGGTTCAGTTCCTGGTCAAGGCATATGCCCGGGTTGCAGGCTCAATCCCCAGCAGAGGGCATGCAGGAGGCAGCCCATCAATGATTCTCATCACTGATGTTTCTATCCCTCTCCCCCATCTCTTCCTCTCTGAAATCAATAAAACTATATTAAGAAAAAAATTGTGTGTGTGTAAAGTGGGTCTAAGCAAAGGCTATATCTCTATTTACAGAATTGATGGTAGGGTTCAATACAGAATGGGTAAGTGAAGTATTGCTGATTGGTGAAATATTGTGTGTTTACTTGAAATTCCGTTTTGCCCTCATTCACCTTTTTTTAACTCTTCCTGAGATAACATAAGTCAGTGAGGTTGCTGGGTTACAAGATGCTTTTTTTACGACCCCATTGAACATGAGCTACGTTGGGAGATCTGCCTAGCTCTCCTGTTTGTGATGGAGTCCAGACAATGACACTCCGGGTGGGGGCTGGAGTGCAGTTTCCCTTCCCCAACCACAGGGAGTCATAATCTGGCGTGGTGACATTCACCCCGTCTTCAGACAGGTCTGTGTTTCCGTGTGGATGTGCGCACATGCACTCACACACATGAGGGGGCGGGGGGAGTTTGTACACTCCTAGCCAGTGACTTTGGCTAAAAGCCTTGTGCTTTCCCAGGTTCTTCTTTAAAACAAAATTTTTTATTGATTTCAGAGATGAAGGGGAGAGAAGGAGAGAGAATCATTGAACAGCTGTCTCCTGCCAAGTCCCCCACTGGGGATCGAGCCCGCAACCCAGGCATGTGCCCTGACCAGTAATTGAACCATGACCTCCTGGTTCATAGGTCGATGCTCAACCACTGAGCCAGTGGCCGGGCCTTTCATGGGTTCTTTAAGGAATATGTCACCTATACCATCCAGAGCATAGGACTAAGCCTGCTCAGGTTGTTGAAGTTCAGAGGTTTGGATTTTTTCTGGGGAAGGTTGTTATATTTGTGATAATTGTGGTGCACTGTGCCCAGATCGCTCATAACCACAACTTGTCAGTTTCTTCCCTTTTCCCATCCTTACCACTAAGTTACCTTCGTTGAACGCTGCCACAGCCATCACCAGTCTGTCCACCCCCAAGGGCACGTGACTGACGAGATAGGTGAGCATGTCAGTGATTCCTGAGATGGCGAAGAACAGATACATGGTGCTGTGTTGCCAGTTCATCAACTTGATCCACTCGTGTTCCGAGTACAGGTGGAGGTGGGGCCCATCCGGAACAAACTGCTCTGCTAGGATCCCTGCAGGGAAATGAGAATGGAAATTAGGCGGGGAGAGTAATTCTAAGACAATAGGAGACAAGCCAAAGATAACCCGAGGCAGGACGGAAGTCAGGATCTGGGTGACACAGCCTGTGGCTTAGTGGCCCTACTTGGCTACTTCAGACTAAAGTGAGGTCTTTGCTGAGGAACCTGTGTAGATGTCGTGTCTTAGTTGCTGTTCCTGGGACAGGGGCACGTGGAGGGAGGTGCAGCAGCCACCGTCCACAGGAAACTTGTCTGGGGCGTTGCCACCTAAGCAAGAGTGTGGCAGATAACTTAATCTTGGGGCTCCCTCTGCCAAGTGAGCAAGGAAAGGAATCCTGGAAGGAAACCATTTGGTTGGAAATAATAGAATCTGAGCAGACACTGGTGATGGAGATACCTGTGTACGCCCAAGGGAGGGAGGCCGCGCCCAGGGGCGCTTGTGGTCTCGGCTCCTTCCCGTAGCTTTAGGTTTCAGTGTCCTACACATCAGCTTGGGGTTTCTCCCATACGGTGTCCCAGGAGAGCCAAGCTTTAGAGACGGCCAGGTGGCCAAGCTGTGCCTCAGTGCGGGTCTCGGTTCTCATCCCTCCTACTGTCACCTGCTTTGAAGGCGAAAGCTTTGCCTTTATGCCTGGTGCCCAGAGTGTTCTTGGGGCTACAGTAACTCCTCCATGGCACATTCTGGACCCTGCTCCCCAAACACTGTTTCCCCAAAAACCAGCCCCTGTCTGAATGTGTGCATAAAGGATCCAGGAGTTGGTGAAGACAACCCAGGAAAGGGAAGTCCTGTCAGAGCTCGAGCCTAGCTGTAGTTCCCCACTGTACCCCCTTATCTAGAACGGTGAGTTCCTGGCACCTAGTGAGAACTCAGGAAATAATTGGTGAATGAGTATTATTTCCACCCAGACACAGTTCTTTAGCTTTGTTTAGGCCAGTGGCCGGCAAACTGCGGCTGTTTGGCCCCTTGAGTGTGGCTCTTCCACAAAATACCACGTGCGGGTGCGCACGTACAGTGCGATTGAAACTTTGTGGCCCATGCGCAGAAGTCGGTATTTTGTGGAAGAGCCACACTCAAGGGGCCAAAGAGCCGCATGTGGCTCGCGAGCTGCAGTTTGCCGACCACTGGTTTAGGCCGATACCATGTAAGCCATATGGTCCCTGTTTACTTCTTGGCTTCAGAAAGATGAGAAAGCCTTTCTGATGCCCGAGGGGCTGGTGAATGGGAAAGTCCCGCTGGACCAGGAAACAGAACCATGTTCCTGTGCCAACTCCCAGAGAAGCCACTGGCATGGTTTCAGCTGCGCCCAGGAAGCTGGAGGCCAGAGATGGTGAGAGGCAAATGCAATTGCCCAATCAGGTCCCTCATTGGTACCACTCATTCTTTGAGGGCCACCAGCAGAGTGGATAGATGATGAGGAAGTGGGCGGGTTTTGTTGGGAAAGGCACCATAAAGGAAGACCCCTCGCACACAGCCTCTGCGGGCTTCTCTCAGTCTCATCCGCTGCCTCTTACCAGCCCCACGCATAACACTCCTCTCTCTACCTGCTTGAGGTTTGGGGGTGGAGGATATGCCAGTGAGTAGGGGTTTGTTTACTCTTGAGATTCTGGAGAAGAGACAGTTGGGGAAAAAAGATTTTTCTAAAACTCAACTTCATTTTCTCATAATTCATGAGCTGACTCTCAATTTGTTTTTTTCTACTTTTGTGTTTTGTCCTTTTCATAAATTATGTCTTCTGTTCCTACAATCTACACCCCTGTGACACGCATGTCAGAGGTGACACGCGAACTCATGTATGTCTTCTGTTCCTACAACCTACACCCAGGTCTCTCTAGGGCAAAGAATGTAATTTATTTGGTACTTTTTCACAGTGCACTGAGATGCGAGGCGCTGTTCACTGTTGATATGACAAGGTTCAGTGCACAGCAGATGTTGCGATGAAATGTCTAGTGGCCAACTGACACTATGATCTATCATCTCTGCCTGTGGAGACATCCATCCACAGGGTCCTGAGAGTGGGCTGAAGGCTCTGGGTGTGATGGGAGATCCCCTGGACCACGCGGCCCCCATCCTTACCTATGACTGGAAATAAAGTTCTGATGGCGGCCTCGATGATCTCCAGACGCTCATAATTATGACTCAGTTGTCTCCTTTTCCCCTTTTGGTGAAAATACTTCAGTGGGTACTTCACTGACCACCACAGCCCAACGATCAAGAAGAAGCTCCCCGGGAGAGCGTGGCCCTTGAAGTTTGCCATCGGGGCCCCGGGTCACCTGAAACACAGGGCAGCTGTCAGGTGGCTGAAGAGGAAAACAAATGGGTATGTTGGCAGGAAATGCAACCCATGACTGGGGAGTCCGTACGCAGAAGGGTCCACTCATTCTCATAAAGTAAGTAAGTCTGTCCTGTCACTGTGTCACCAAAGTCGTGTCCGCTGAGCAGTTACATGCTGACCCTGAGGCCTAAACAACGTTGGCAAATAGAAGGGGGGAGGGGAAGCAGAGGATAGGTAAATGTTGACCTCAGGGTAGAAAAGCCTTCCTAAACATAAAGGAGGGAATAAGAAAAATAGTCATGGACACTGGTATTTTATAGATCAAAACACGAGGAGGCAAGTCAGTGGGGCGAAGCTACCACCTGTGGGGTTATGACCGACTGCCTGTCAGAGTTCTGCCCAGGCTGAAACCAAGGGCAGCGCCCCAGGTGGCCCCCAGCATGCAGTGGGACCTGGTTGGTGCAGAGAGCCACTCGTCCAGGGAAACGGGTGCGGCAGGGAAGGGGGCCGCCCCTTGCCCTGCATGCATGGGTTTTTATAGATTTGATTGCAACAAATCGTGCAAAATGATGATATTAGCTGAATAAATGTAGGACCACCGGGAGAAAGAAATACTGAACCAACGACTTGAGGAAAGCTACTTCCACATTCACACATTTTCTTGTTAAGCATTTAAAGCAGTGTTTCTGGAATTCAGTGTGAGGCCAACAACGTCTGCAAACTATTTTGCTGAGAGACTGGTCCAGCGTTTGAAACAAGAATGGTCCCCCGCCCTGGTGGCCCTCAGCGTGCAGTGGGACCTGGTTGGTGCAGAGAGCCCCTCGTCCAGGGAAACGGGTGCGGCAGGGAAGGGGGCCGCCCCTTGCCCTGCATGCATGGGTTTTTATAGATTTGATTGCAACAAATCGTGCAAAATGATGATATTAGCTGAATAAATGTAGGACCACCGGGAGAAAGAAATACTGAACCAACGACTTGAGGAAAGCTACTTCCACATTCACACATTTTCTTGTTAAGCATTCAAAGCAATGTTTCTGGAATTCAGTATGAGGCCAACAACGTCTGCAAACTATTTTGCTGAGAGACTGGTCCAGCGTTTGAAACAAGAAATGAGAGACTGTTTCAAAGGCGTCACGGTTCGGCTTGTGGAACATGCGTGCTCCACCCGGTTTTTCTGCAGCTGAGAAGCTGAGCGTCTGTAGACATTAGGGTCGATATTAATAAAGAGAGGAAACAAAGGGAGTCAAATATTGTTTAGCTGAATGGGCTGGGGAGCTGAATGGGACACTGAGCCTGCAGTTTCACCAGGAAGCCAGCTCTCCGCCCCCCGACCCAGGCGATCACAGTACTGCCCCACCAAGGATTAACACCCCTGCCTTCCCCCTCAGGTCCCGGATTGTCTGGGGGGCCAGGGGGAGGGGAGCACACGTGCAGAAGTCAAAACGGCCCACGGGGAGGTGCTTGGCCATAGAGGCTTGTCAATCTAGCCTGGGAAAGGGATCACTGGTCGGGGTGGGCCCATCAGAGTCCCGTAAAAGTTTTGGAAGTTGATCAGTTATTTTGAAAAAGCACCTGGTCCTTCCCAAGCCCAAGATAATATAATCCCAGGGATGCCTGGCCGGTGTGGCTCAGTGGTTGAGCCTTGACCTATGAACCAGGAGGTCACAGTTCAGTTTTCAGTCAGGGCACATGCCCGGGTTGTGGCTCGATCCCCAGTGTGGAGCATGCAGGAGGCAGCCCATCAATGATTCTCAACACTGATGTTTCTATCTCTCTCTTCCTTTCTGAAATCAGTAAAAATATATTTAAAAAATTACATATATATACATTCATTCTCAGGGAATATGCAATCATCCAGTTGGTTTGCATGCTCTCTCCTTAGCAACCATGTGGCCTTAGCAACATGGCTGATGGGGACAGCGGACGACTTCAAACGCCGGCTCCAGGTGGGAACCTGGATCCAGCAGCACCGATTGCAGCCGGAACGGTAGCTAAGCTCCCGACGGTGAGAAAGGCTGGCCTGGACTAGCTTTAACGTGGCACAGACTCTCTGGACATTGGCCCTATTTCTGGCCCTGATTTTCCACGTTGGGACCGACAGAGATGGGACATTGGGGCCTTCTATTTTCACCCAAATAACTCTTACCACCAGACCTCCCCCTCCCTTGTGGGTCTCTGCTTTTCCTCACGACTCCACAAGGACCCCAGTCCCACCACAACACAGATGCTCCTTCTCCAAAGGGGACCCAGGACACGTTTGTCATTGTGATAGGCAGTGCCACAGCCAAGGGAGAAAGCAAAGGCCCAACGACTCAGTGGACCCCCTGGGTCCTTCCCTGCAGGCAGCTGTGGTCCCGTGGCCCCTGCATAGCCTCCGCCCGCTCCTCTCTAGTCTGCAGCCATTTCGCCTCAAATGGCTGTAAAGTCTCAGGGAAAGGGAGCCTCTAAAGGTGGCACGTACAGCACAGCTGCCTGAGCCCCCCAAACAGAGACTCCCTATTTTATTTTTAAATATATATTTTTAATTGATTTCAGAGAGGAAGGGAGAAAGAAGAAACATCAATGATGAGAGAGCATCATTGCTCGGCTGCCTCCTGCACGCCCCACACTGGGGATCGAGCCCACAACCCGGGCATGTGCCCTAACTGCAAATTGAACTGTGACCTCCTGGTTCATAGGTTGATGCTCAACCACTGGGCCACGCCGGCTGGGCTGGAATAGTTATTTTAAAAGACACCCAAGGAAAAGCAAAGCCAGAACTTGGGGCGGGAGTCCTCAGCTCAGGTCTTGTCTAAATGTCTAGACTCGGGGAATGAACTCCAAATAGCTGTTTCCTCATCATAATATTCCCTCCCAGAGCCTTTACAAATTAATGAGGAACATACCATAGGAGAACGGGCAGAGACACGAACACAATTCACAAATAACACATCGATAAGGAATCTCACTGGAATTAAAGACATGCAAATGAATGCACAGTATCATTTTCACCTAATTGGAATATAGTTTGAAAAATTAGAGATTTGATGCAGCTCTAACATAAATGAATATGGTCAATATGATTCAAGTTCAGTAAAAGTCAAAATAGTTATATCAACACCACCTTATTCCACACAGGATTTCAGGCATGGTTTCTTTTATCCTGTTTACAGTAGCATAGGCTATGGCAGTGATGGCGAACCTTTTGAGCTCGGCGTGTCAGCATTTTGAAGAACCCTAACTTAACTCTGGTGCCGTGTCACATATAGAAATGTTTTGATATTTGCAACCATAGTAAAACAAAGATATTTTTTATATTTATTTTATATATTTAAATGCCATTTAACAAAGAAAAATCAAAAAAATGAGTTCGCATGTCACCTCTGACACGCGTGTCATAGGTTCGCCATCACTGGGCTATGGAATCAACATGATGAGTTACATAGAATTTATGCAGAAGGAAAGTGCTTTTTTTTTTTGCGGCCTGGCTGGTGACCTAAAGCAATGTAAGGTGGGAGAAAAATAGCAGCTGATGGAGATCTAGAACATTCCACTTAGGAAGATAGAGCACCGCGGTCTGCACAGCCTACTCCCACCCTGCCATCCCTGCGCCACTGGCTGCATCGTCTGGGCTGGTTCGCGCCTGATACATTTGCAGTTGAGGTTTCCACCCTTCATCAAGCGCTTTCACAAGCTTTTAGAAAATGCTTACAGTTTTTAAAATGTCAAATAGTATTTAAAGTTTTACAATGAAAAGCAGCAGGCCCATGTTCCCTCCTTCTCCCCCCCCCACAAACCACTTTAAATTCTTCCTGTTTTTTTTCTGGTAATTACCTCCATTGTTCTAGTTAATTCGTGCACACTGCCATCTGTTAATTTACTGTTGTCGGCATTCTCTGTCAACTTACTGGAGCCCTCTTACAGCCTCCCTTCACTTCATGGGAGTTACATTACACACATTTACTGAAATCATTAGCTACATTATTATGGCTCTGTAAATGCAAAGTCCTTGCCAGGGCTCCACGTGACCTGAGCTCTCTCTTTGATCTCTCCTCCCCCTCTATCGCTGCGACACAGGGTCCCCCTCTATTGCTTCAACAAGTACAGCCCTCTCCTGCTTCCGGGCTGTGCACTATCTGTTCTTTCTAGACCAATTTTTCCACAGAGAGCTGGCTGTTTCCTCCTTCACTTTACTGGGGTCTCTGCTCAGATGTTTCTTTATTCCCTATTTTATGTAAAGTAGCAGGTGTGTCCCACTTTTCAATCCTAAATTTCTTTAATGAATCACTATCTGATAGTACGTACTGACTTTTTTTTTTTAAGCATCTATTTTACCCACTAGATTGCAACCTCCTGGCCCTTTAAATACAGTCCCTCATGTTGTGACCCAACCATAAAATTATTTTCTTACTGGGGTCTCTGCTCAGATGTTTCTTTATTCCCTATTTTATGCAAAGTAGCAGGTGTGTCCCACTTTTCAATCCATATATACTTCTAAATTTCTTTAACGAATCACTATCTGATAGTACGCACTGATTTTTTTTTTTAAGCATCTATTTTACCCACTAGATTGCAACCTCCTGGCCCTTTAAATACAGTCCCTCATGTTGTGACCCAACCATAAAATTATTTTCATTGCTACTTTATAACTGTAATGTTATGAATCATAATGTAAATATCTGATATGTAGGATGGTCTTAGGCAACCCTGTGAAAGGGTCGTTTGACCTCCAGAGGGGTTGCGACCCACAGATTGAGAACTGCTGCACTAGAATGTAAGCTCTGTGAAAGCAGAGACTTGAACTGCTTTGTTATTGCAGGTAGCCCAGTGCTCACATGGGGTCTGACACTCCAATATTTGTGGGGTGAATGCTGATCCAAATACTGTATTATGGGTTATGTGCTCAACATTTTTCTTTTGTTCTGGAGTTAATAGTTGCATTGCTTCTCATTTGTTTAGTTTCCCATATACCTAATCACTTTGTCCACAAAAGGGCTAACAGATCTGTCAAATGTCTACCAAATTAATGTCTAGACATTCTAACAT